ATTACAGCCCTACGTCGATCCCTTTCAACTCACCGACTAGAGCGCATCGGGCATCCCGACAGCCATCGGCCATGCCCTTGACCAGCTGTGCGGCGAGCGGCACCTGCAGCTTGCCGCAGGCAATGTAATCCAGGAATGCAACTGGCTCAGCGCCCAGCTCCAGCAGCTGATTGGCACACATGGCAAAGAGATCGTAGCCAATGTGATCGTATAGCTCGTGCTGCAGGGCCAGCTGTATTTTGGCGCCCACACCTTGAGTGGCCTCCGCAATGACCGGCTGCCGGTAGTTCAGCTCCTTGATGCGAAATAGACCACCGAAGCCGCCCAGACCACCCAGGACTCCGGGCCGTTGGGTGCCGCGCGACAGGGGCTTGATGCGTTGCACCAGAGCATCGCCAGCATCGATGTCCACGCCGCTGTCCTTGTAGCTGAGCGAGGGAGCTGGCGCCCTACGGAGATGATAGAGAGCAAAGCAGAGTTAAAGCGGGATGGCATGAGAGTGGGGCAACACAAACACAAATGATAAGCGTGCATGATCCGCCTGATTATCGAGCTGAGCGATCTCATAACATGATAATGATGTTTTCATGAACATTTTTTTAAGTCTTTCTTTATTTTCTTTTGATCTCATTTGATTTACATTTTGAGCGCCTTCTGCGCTATATCCGTGCGATATTGTGCTCCAGCTCCAGCAAAACTGATGCTCTCCGCCAGCTTGGTGGCCTGCTCAGCGGCCTGCCTGAGGCTCGGGTCCAGTGCAATGGCGATGAGCACTCGGCCGCCATTGGTCACCGGCTCCTGCTGGGCATTGACGGTCAAGCCGCTGTGGAAGATCAGCTGAGTCTCTGTGTTCGCAGCGGGCAGACCTGGAATTGGTTAAATTATGAATATAAATGATGTATGATAGGTATATGTTATTGATTTTGCCCTTTGATCTGCTCTTTTCCCTCTTTTCCGTTCTTCTTTTCTGATTTGTTGTACATTTCCTGCTCTGCTATCGTATCGTCTTTTATCTATTTGTATTCCTCCCCATTCTTCATTCCCCTTTTCTTTTGCTACCATCCTATTTTCTCTTGCTATTCCTGCTCTACTTATCTTGTACCTCTTTCTTCTTCCTTCTTTACTGTTCTTCCTTTCTAATTTGCTGTACATTTCCTGCTCTACTATCGTATCATCTCTTATATATTTTTCTTTTTTTCTTGTCCACCTCCGCTTTCCTTTTGTCATCATCTATCATATTCCATTTTACACTTCTTGTTTCATTTCCCTTGTTCTCTTTCTGTTTTCTGTGATCTTTGCTTAGGCTAGACTCTTTCCTCTTTCTGTTTTCTGTAATCTCTGCTTAGGCTAGACCTATTAGCTCTTCAGTTTTAGGCCAGTATTCGTTAGATCTTTGGCCAAACCAGCTCGATCTTCAGCTAAATTAGCTAGAATCGGTTCTTTGTTCCACATTGATATGTTTGTTATCTCTAATACGTATATCATTTCTAGTATAGAGTAGGACCCCAAAGGATGCGAATAGTCTAGGCACTAGGTACTATACATAATCCAAGTATTTAAGTTAAGTTAAGCTAATAATTCTCGCTAGTTTCATTATATCAGCGGACATCGATTAGGTGTAATCACAGGCTAATATACATACATTTATACATAAGTAATATAGTCTGGCTTGTTTCGCCAGATATTAAAATCTCAATTATTTTAATTTATGCAAAATTGTTTTGTGAATTTCCCGGCACATGCGAAAAGGGAATTTCCGTTACATAAACGAGCTGGCAGCTCACCTGTTATGACGCAACCCTTTGTAGCTGATTCCGGATATCCAGCGCTGGCCATGATCACACCGACGGCACTCAGGCCGCTGCGCCAACGCAAGGTGAGCTGCTCCAGCTGGCCCCGGCAGCACGCCTGCATCACCTCGAACAGATCGGATTCGAGGAGCGGAAGTATCACTTGCGTCTCGGGATCCCCAAAGCGACAGTTGAACTCGAGTACGCGTGGACCGTCCGGTGTCAGCATGAGACCGGCATAGAGGACGCCCTGATAGGCAATGCGCTCCTGCTGCAGTCCCTTGATGGACCGCTCCAGCACAGCGCGCTGGACCAGCTCCAGGGCCTGTTTGCTGATCAGGGGGCAGGGGCAATAGGCGCCCATGCCGCCAGTATTGGGTCCCGTATCACCGTTGCCCAGACGCTTGTGATCCTGGGCGGGCAGCATGGCCTGAATGGTTTTGCCATCGGTAAAGGCCAGCACAGAGACCTCCTCGCCCTCGAGCAGCTCCTCCACGACGAGAGTGGCGCCCGCCTGGCCATATATCAGCTGGCCCAGTATCTCATCCACAGCCTGGCAGGCCTCCTCCACATTGGCGGCCACCACGACGCCCTTGCCGGCAGCCAGGCCGGCGGCCTTCACCACCAGAGCGGCATACGGGGCGCTGTCAAAGCAAAAGCGACAATTATGATTGTGATTAATATACATTTAATTTAATTGAAATTTAATTAAAATCTACTCATTTCCACTCTACCTGCGTATGAACTTTTTGGCCTTGTTCACATCCGTGAAGCTCTCGTAGCGCGCCGTCGGTATGCCATGGCGCAGCATAAACTCTTTGGCCCACTTCTTATCCGCCTCGATCTGGGCGCCCTGCTTGCCGGGCCCAAAGCAGGCGATGCCCGCCTTCTGCAGCACATCGCCCAGGCCCAAAGCCAGCGGATTTTCGGGCCCGATCACCACCAGCGAGATCTCGTTCAGCTGGCACCACTTGGCAATGGCCTGGCAAAAGGTCAAATGCAAAAGAATTTTTAATGTAAACAACTTAAGATTGAGAGAGAGAGAGGGTATGACAGACTAGGGAATGCCCTGTAAATTGTTGACAATAAATTGCTTTGGGGTTTGCTTTAAGTAATTAGACTAGTAAAAAAGTCGAGTAAGTTTGGGGCCAGGACAGGGTGTGACAGACTAAGGGATGCCCTGTAATTTGTTAACATATATTAAACTATTTATATTCTTCTATAAAATTATTTATGTACTTCAAATTTGTTATTTTTGCTAAAGAAGTACAAGAGAGAAACTGCTCATGGATATGCCCGACTGATAGATGCCCTGTAATATATTAACATGTGTTGAAATATTGATTTATAAATAACTTATATGTTTTTAAAATCCATGCAAATATTTGGGCTTGTAAACTAATTAGCGAGAGGGCCTGGCCAGGATGTGACTGACTAAGAGATGCCTTGTAATTTGTGTAAGGTGCGAAATATTGTTACATAAATAAATTATATGCTTTCATATATTATGCAAACAAGTTTCATAGCGAGTCTGAATGTATGTAGCCGACTCAGAGATACCCATTAAATTAAAGTAAAGGGTTTAATATTGCAATATTAATAAATTATATTTTTATAAGGGATTTAAAATAAAATTATAAATATAGCCGACTATAAGATACCCAGTAGCTAAAGTTTTTATTGCAATATTCATGAATTATGTTTTTAGATTGTATATAAAAGGCATACAGTTTTAATCAAAAACTCTACTCATTTCACTTGCCCGTAAAAAGCGATTCGGGATGTACAGGAGTTAAATATAATATAATAAATTATATATGCATTACTTTGAAATTCCCTGCAACATTTAATACTTGTTTCTCGGTCTCAGAAATGTTGTATGCTAAATACGTCAAGGGGAATTTGTCATGCAACAAGTGCAAACAGCTGAGAGCCTAAGCAAGCTCGACTATGAAATACCCATTATTATTCTACAGGGAACAAACTTCAAACACACTCTCTTGAGAAAAAACAAAGTGGAAAATCTTCTCATTACTTAAAGCATGAACTTTCAAATTCCGCCTCTATTCACAAAACTCATCATGCCCTTTATGACAATCTGAGATGGGGTATTACCATTTTAAATGCTAATTTCTTAATTCAGGGCAAGCCCAGAATGCTGGCAACAAATAAATTATAGCCGGTTCTGCATCGAAAACAATTTGTCGCCATGGCTAAAATTCCTTCCTAATTGTTTTGCCATTAAACTGGGTGCATTGTCACATTGGTGAATGGCAATATTACCAAAAAAAAAAAAATAAATAAATAATAAAAATTAAATGAATAATAATTATAGCAACAACAGCAACGTTAAAAAGATGTACTGACTCAGTTAAGAGCTATGCCTGCTGAACAACAAGATCGACAAAAATCCGGAGCCTGCTCATCCGGTTTGGGATGAACGTGACTGATGCGCCGCGTCTTCGTCTCGGTTCTAATCGATTTGGCGCCAGCCCCAAACGGAGAACCCACAAAGTGCAACTGCGTTCCAGACTATTTAACACATTAACAGCAATCTTTCTCCCCTATAACATTTACAGTCCCCTCACTCCACCCACCATTCTCTCTTCGTCCGCCTCCCACAGTTTTTGGGGTTCAAGTACGTTCATAGCGCTCGCCGTCTGCTCCCAGTCAGCTGCTCAAAATGTGACGTCTTCACATTTCGCAATTTCATGGAGCCATTTATGGCAATCCGGCCAAGATTCCCATTTCCCAAACGATGTCTCCGAATTTCTGACCACTTTCCAAACTTGGCCAAGAACTGTTTGTATTCCCCTTAGCTCCACATAATTTACTATATTGCATACTGTATGCAAATGAGTAATTCACGAGTCAGCATTTGGCCAGCAAATGTGATAGATTAGTTACGGTTTGTTGGCTGGGATTGGGTATAAGTATGGAAAGAACGGGGAATTCAGCTAGGTAGAAACTGTGCATATAAAGAATGAGAAGTTCAGAAATGTTTATACGAAAGATGAGAGTCAGCTAATTTTGTTTGCTGGTCAAGTTTAGTTCCGCTTTTTGACAGTGTGCTATGAATGAGTCTATTTTCTGTTGGCTTTCTTGGTTTGTCTTTCTCATAAGATCTATTGCTTTCTTGGTTTGTTATTCTTCCAGTCTCTCTCACTCACTTTATCTCTTTACTTCTATCTCCATATCCGTTTTGCTTTCTTTGCTACTGACTTCCTTTTTCTCTGACGGCATCTATTTACTTTCCAATCTCTTCGCCAATTTGACTCCCAAATTTTCCTTGATTCTTTTCTCACTTTTTCCCTTTGCCTTATTTTAATCTGTCTTTTCCGTTTACATCTCCCAATTTGAAATCCTATCAACTCCTTTCAACTCCTATGCCTCCTTTACGATGACCTTTGACCTTTCTATGCGATTCTCAAAGTGTATTTATGCAACTTTATACAAGTGACATTTAAATGATATTTCTTGTCAATATAAGCTTGGATTAAAAGCTTTCCTTGATACCTGCTTATAGCTCACCACCCTGCCTTGCCCCCGAGTTGGCATACAGCTTTAGCTTTTAGAAATAAATAATAAACAATCTTAATAAATTAGAAAACCCCATTTAAGGAGACAAATCAATTAAAAATATATTATCTAAAATAATTGATTAAAGAACACTGCCAAATAATGGAAGCAATTTTATTTTGTATTCAATATTTATAGAAATACTTATAAACTGGTTAAGTATATCTGTTTACTTGAGCTCAGTTACGTAAACGAGCCCCGTAAAGTATAAACCTTAATCGTACTACATTTACGAGCGGTTCAACGATCTCTGAAATATTTCTCTTGCAAACAAAAATGAACTAAAAATTATGGAATGCAAGGCAATAATTGTGTTCAAGATCAACAACAATTAAAATATACATATATAGGCATATAGACATACATACATATATAAATATATCAAATTTGAGGTGTTATTTAACCTTCGAATAGGGTATATGATATAAGGAGCAATAAATGATATTTAACCGGCCCACAAAACTTTAAGAACTGCAACCATTTGGCGACCACATATAAAATAATTATTATAAACAAAAAAAGGAAAAAGGCAAAAAAAAATGAAGCCGTGCTTAAACCAAATAAAATCATTTAATTTATGACTGCCGCTTGAGATGATGATATGACGAGCGGCTGGAGACGACGGCTACAGACGACGCCTTCGCTCTCGGAACTGGGTTTCCAATCCCCAAAAATTAAAAAAAAAAAAGATACCAAAAACAACGAACAAAATACAAAAATTCATGGCAAGCGAATTGTATATAAAAACGAAAGCATGCCAAAAGCCAGCAAACAGTCGTTGATTTAAAGCGCTAGAACGAACAACCGCGACGAGATTTCGAGATTTACAAAAAAAAAAAAAAAAATAATAATAATATTAAATAAACGATATACGAAATTACAAAAAAAAAATATATATATTAAATATTTTTGAAATTTTTTTCAATTACGAAAATGTGTAAAAACATGCAACTCCCTTTGCTTGTAAGCTATTTGAAACTCAAATTCCTATTGGATGTCAATTAATCGAAATATGTGCAAATTTTATAGATACAACTCGTGTACGTGACAGCTCTGATCCAGGCTGCATATATACCCGATTCGGATCGTAATACACAGACGTTGCACAATGAACTCAATGTGGATCCGGATGGCAGCTATAGTTATGCGTATGAAACGTCGAATGGCATTACGGGAAAACAATCCGGATTGGGAGGCATTGCCGTGCAAGGCGGTTCGAGTTATATCTCACCAGAGGGCACGCCCATTAGCATTAGCTATGTGGCCGATGAGAAGGGCTATTATCCCGTGGGTGATCATATACCCAAGGTGCCCGACTATATATTGCGCGCATTGGCCTATATCCGTACACATCCGTATCAGGTCAGGGACTACTATACGGGCGAGCTGAAGACTGTGGCGCACGATGCGGAGGCCTTTAAGGTGTACGAACGCGACATACAGGAGCCAACGACGCCGCGTACTCGACCCAGTGTTACGCCCAAGGTGGTGCATCTGACACATGCACCACCCACGCAACGCTGAGGGCGATCGAATGATCCACATTGGGTGCATGGAGACGGATGATGAGTCGGGTTCGGGGCGGGCAGGGAAAATGGCAGACTGACAGACAAGCCAGACGCAAACTGTGAATTTGATCTAAACAATTAATTAATAGATGTGCTAAGACAAAAAAAAAAATAATAATAATAAAATCAAAAATATACAAAAAGAAATATGAAACAAATGAAATTGTTTATATTCGAACTCCGTCTCAGGCGTCAATCGAGTAGACGCTAATGCCTAGAGCGACTTTATAAATGGACCCGCTAATAGATAACGGAATTTATAGCCGCATTGAAAGCGAAAGATTTCAATTGACAACAAAGAAAATATGAAATAAACAATATGATATTGGAATAGTCAAATTGAAATCCAAATGCAAGTGCATTTGCTAAGGGCTAATGGCGAGTTTAATTTCTTGAGGATGACTGGGCTTATTGGTCTCCAAGCTACAGATGTATATCTATTATTATGATTGATGTTTGTTCAAAATAGCTGAATTTAAAAAGTTTAGCTTTAAAAGTAGACAATCTGCTATGATTGATTTATATCTAAACACGTAAAACATAGTTGTGATTGCTTAGAAACGTCATATACCAATTTTATACTCAAAATCTATTGAAAATGGGAAATAATATTTTTTTGTTTACTGCTGTACGATGAAAATCTTTTTTATTTCGCAGTATTTTTTATTTTAAACATCTATTTTATCATCTTATCTTTCATTTAATTCCAGATGATTCGATTTAATTTTCATACTGAGTTTTTCTATATGTGTATTTAGTTATTGTTTTTTCAAAAGGCGTGATTGCGAATATGTAAAGCTGTTTTGTTTGCTATATTATGTTATCAAGAAATCTATCAATATCATGTTATTTGTATGTATTTTTAGAAAGCAAAGGAAATACTTTACATGACGTAAGTAACAATTTTGCTTACACCATTTAGGAAATATTACTGATAATTATAAAACGACAAATTGAAAATCATAAAAATATGAAAAATAATGAACAAATATAATTATTTCAATTTATTATTTAAACAGAAAATTAAGAATCATTTTTATTATAAATATTTATCTATTTCTTTAAAGATTATTTATTAAATCTATCTATCTATCTTTAAAGATTATTTATACATGTAATTAGAATGTCATCGATGAAATGTAAAATTGCTTGTCAATAAATCATATTTTAGTTAAATATAACTTTATTAATAAAAACACTAAGCTTCTTTCGTTCATAAAATGCCTAAGAATCTTAATCAACTCAAGGCTAAGCAATAAATCTACCTTTTGGCACACTGTGCCGCTTAAGGGTTAAATATCTATAGGCACACAGCCACACATAGACACATACAAACAGTTAGAGCATGCAAAGTTTGGCCGCTGTTACGCTTTTGATTGGATCCGTTTACGATCTCCGTTTAACATTAAAACAAAATTAACTGGGTACCATAAAAGAAAATGTCAATGATGTGTAATAAAAAAATAGCAATAAAATGTTGATAAATTTGCAGCATCGCATAGCCATTGCTGCATCCGCGGCTATAGCAGCAGCAGTGTAACTTTAAGCCCGGCTCGAAGGTTAAGTGAAGGACAGTGAGCAGAGTGCGCGGCTGCACTGCGCTAACCACGACGAACCTCCGGCGCGTACACTGCACTCACCTCAAAATCCTTCGCATCTAGTACGTCGGCGCCGAGATTCTGGCACTTTACGCCCAACTGTCCAATGCCAAAGCTGCCCGGTAGAGCGTAGATTTGCGACACTAGTGGCGACTGCTCCAGCTTCCAACAGATGGCGTGCTCACGCCCACCGCTACCGATAACCAGCACGCGATTTGACATTTTCGCCGTTTGTTAATATGAAAGCACAACAATACTAATCAGAAAACTTTGCACGTTTTAGTCACGCGAAATGCTTGCTAGTAAATTGTTTTCGTTGTATTTTCTTATTATTGTATTCTGTTTGCTGCGTGCCCACGTGTTGCGATCTGTGGCGACAAAGAGAGTATTAAGCGGCGAGAGTGTGAGAGAGCGTGGCTTTTGTTTGGTCTCTTTTCAACTATGCTTCTTATGTTGCTTTCGCCGTTCTTTGCAAATAGTAAACCGCACCGCACGACGCCGTGTTTTCAACTGAAACTGGACTGAATTAAATACTTTATGTGTAGGCAAAAATAAAAAGCGAAAATAGTAGACAGGCCTACGTAACGCGAATTCGTCGAGAGTCGCGACACCAGTTGATTATGTTACGCGATCTCTCTCATTCTGTCTCGCTCACCTTCTGCTTCGTCTTATACTATTTCACGTTGCTGCGCGCTGATAAGAAACTCAATGGATTTTCGATTGGCGTCGCTTCTTAACTGTAATGCACTCTCTTGTTTTTGTTATTGGTTTGGAAAATAACAAAAACACAACGATAACCTTTTCAGAGGCCGTAACCGTACAGACCGTGGGGGTAAGTGCAGTTGCAGCAAACAGTACAGCATTTTTTTACGGTTTCATTAAATTAAGCAAATTTTGTACAGTTCTAATTGTAATTAACTGGCGAGAAGTGTGAAATTTCTCGATGTTTAAGTACATATATCATAAAACCAAATCATATTTAAGCGATCAGCCAATTTTTTAATCATACAAAATTTATGGCCGTGCATCAGTCGCGGAAACAAATTACAGATAATCTGAGATCAATGCACCGAATTCTGGAAACAAATCTCTTGTTTTAATCGTGTATGCTTAAATGTGTACACATGTTTTAATTTTTTCGCAATTTGTTTATAATTAAAAGTAAATTTTCAGATTTATCATTATCTGATTTATTTTAAAGGACTGAAATTGGAAAAGAACGAATTTTTGTTAAATAAGGAGTTTCGGGGTTTGAAAATTACCTACATACATATATTAGTCACTGACTGAAAAATGAAAGATTATTAGTAAATGCAATCCTCGGATAATTACTTACTAAAAGTAATATGAAACATTATATACTTACTTGTATATATTCGATTTCGAATTCGAATTATATCATAATCAAGTAGCCCATTCTCGTTTTGTAAAATATGTATTTTCGGTTTTTGTATATTTTTGTTTTTATATTGTTTTGTTATTATTATTATTAGTAAGCATTAAAAAATTGTAATGTTTCTCCTCTGTTGTTGTTTTTGTTTGTAAATTTACAATATAACTACCAAACTCCGTCATAAATTTGTTTACATAGTTGGTTGATTGCAGCTCTCAAATTTGCCACATGAAAAAGAGTGAATAAATATTTATATATATGCATATATAAATGTGTATAAAGCAACACAAATTACTTAATGCAATCTCAGAAATGACAATTTTGAATGCATGCTTTCAGTTGGCATGGGATAATTGAAATAATAGATAGCTCGGTTGCATCCATCCAGCCGCCTGTTACCGACGCATCTGAAATCCGATCGTGCCATTGGGACACGGACCACGTGGCAAGCGTAGTACGTTATCATTGTATGGATGTGCATAGTGGGGCGGCGGTGGCTGTGGCTGTGCCTGATGCTGTTGCAACGATTGCTGACGCAGCAGCGCCGCCGAAACACTGCCTCCCACAACCGGCGACCAACTCTGCTGAGGATTGGCCGTTGCAGCTCCTGCTGCTGTCACAGTGGCGCCTGTCATATACTGCGACAGGCGTTGATTGTAATGCGCCAGAGATTGTGGCGAAGTTTGCTGCTGATGCTGCTGCTGTTGATGTGGCTGATGCATCGACGGTGTCTGCTGATAGAAATAGCCCATGGGGGCTGTATTTGGCGGCGGCTGATAGTAATTGTTGTAGTTGTTGTAAAAGGGCGCCGTCTGTGACATCTTTGGCGCCGATGTGGATCGATGCATGCCAGGTGATGCATTATTAGCTGACTGAATGCCACTGCCAATGTTGTTATTATTATTGTTGTTATTGAAGTTGGACGCTGTCGGCGTTGTTGTCGTCACCTCCGGCTGCACTGGGGTTGATAGCACCACGAGGGTTGCGGCCGCAGCACTGCAATAGATTAGATATTAATTTTATAAGGTGTACAAAGAGTAACTTGAGAAAATGCTTTGGTTTAGTTGTTGATTGCAACCGGATCAAATACCAGTTGCACCTCATTAAGCTATGGATTCTTACAGAAACTGCCTATCTTATCTTTATCTTGCTTACAAAAATCAACATTAAATAGCTGAGATAATAGTGTTCCAGTAGATCTGCTAATATAGATTTCATTTTAAGTGCATCATTGAAATTTTATGCAAGGTTTTGCTGCTATTCAGATATAGGATATTTTATCCTCATATTGGTTATAAAAGTTAACATAAATTTGAGCTAAGAGTATGTTCTGATAGGAATATAGCTAATAGGTAATTGCTAATCTAGTGATGCCGCTAATCTGTTGCTGTATACAATATGGCGGCAGAGCTTTAGAAGCTACTGGAAGGTTATGAGTCACTCAAGATGTAAACAAATCATGAACATTGAGGGCAACCACATATTCAATATAAGAGAAGCCAGCATCAGCGAAACAGGCTACATATAAATAGCTACGATCTCTGCAAATGAGAACTGGCAGTATCAATGGTACATATATATATACACTCAAATACTAACGGTTTATCGTCCTCTGGATTCTTGGCGCTTCCCAGTATGCGTAGGCGTGCCTGTGCGTATTCCTGCTCTCTCTGCTGCAGAGTTTTGATGGGCTGCTTGGGTCGTATGCCGTTCATATCGCGACGCTCTTCGGCCTGTGCGGGTCGTCTCAAGATTTTCACCGTTTGATTGCTAATGGGCGTGGCATAATTGGCAGCATCGTACTCGCTGCTCGATTTATGCAGCACCATCATAACAGGCGCAGACGGCGCACTCGATTCGTCATCCACTGATGTCGCAGACGTTGGCGGCTTCTTGGCAATCATGATTTGCTTTGGCGCCACGACTGCGGCCGTTGCTGCGCTGCCACCGCCACTGCTCTCCTGCATGCTCTGCGGCCGTTGAAGTAATTTCATTTTGCTAGTGGCTGCTGTTTCAGCTGTTGAGGCGGGCTTAAAGGTGCAACTGGAGTCGTTGTCGGCGGTTTGCAGTTTCGTTTGAAGCGTCATGCAAAGCTATAAGAGAGATATCGAGAGAGCATTTTCGACAATTTTTTTTTTATATTGTTGCTGTTTGTTATTGTAATGTCATTTTATACTCACGCCTGCCTCGTCAATTTCTTCCCAGTTGTCTAGCACATCGTCACCATTGGACATTGCAATTGCTGTTTTTGTAGCTGTTGTTTCTTGAATTTATAATGGGGCTGGTGCGAGCACGTTGCGTGTGCGTTTGATTGTGTACAAATATATATATATGTATATATATTTCTTTTTCGCTTTTACAAAATTTGTTGCTGCTGTTTTGTTGTTGTTGTCGCTGCTGTTGTTGTTGTAGCTGCTTCACTTTCTTCTTTTGCGCCTGCTACTGCAGCTCGCACTACAACTGATACATAATTCCAGAGCACTTGTATCAGACATAAGTTCTACATATGATTTTGCACAATTTTTTGCACAAAAGAATTGTTTTAAACAAGAAAATATGCTATGCATATGCTTTGCACACGCATACGCAACAATTTTTAGCTCACTCTGGCAGCCCTGCTTAGCACACTCGATAGGCTCGATAGCAATCAAATTGAGCTGCGTTTTTTATTATAGATGTATCATTTGTATTAAAACCCATGTTTTACAACATTTGTTATGCATTTTTACATTTTATTTTTATTGTTTTCAGTCATTTCGAGGAATAAAGGCGTACAGAAATATTCGCTGTGAATGTCCATTTTATTACAGCTATCGATAAACAGTAGGCAAACATCGAACAATTGGCAAATGAATATTTAAATGCAGAAATTCCAGATGAAATTCAGATGATATACTCAATATAAATATAATTTTGCATGCAATACAAAAAAATTATAATGTATTTCAAGCTGTCAACTGTATATAATAATTATACAAATGCTTTATGGAAAGATTATTTTCACAGAAAATGTTATTAAATTGTATTGTTTCTAAAAATTATATCAAAACTGTTTCTTTTTGAAATATGTATGCATAAATACGACAAATTCGCTTGGGGTCTTGTCCAGCCTGCCTCAAAAAGATACAAATTATCACTGTAAACGTTGTCAGTAAACTTTTTACTCCTTTTTCCGATTGGTATAGTTTATTATAGCGTTTTTATTTCCAATATTAAAAGGTTCTTTGCCAGTCCGAAGTGTCTGAAGTCAATAATAAATTTAACGCATTTCTTAGCACTGAAATATGAGTAAACTATTTTAACAGTATAAGATTTCTCTGCACTGTTAATAACATTTTAGCAGAATGTAAATGTTTGCGCTTGGACATATGGTTTTAGTTGATAAGATTGGATGTGCTGCTGTGAATTCGAAATGGAAATTGAGCTCGCCGAAGAAATCCACAAATCGATTATCATTATTAAGCAGCAGCAGCAGCCCAGTTCACTGATAACATAACAAAAACAACACTCACCACACGTGCATGTATCAATTACTCAGTAATCATTTCAAGAGTGGCTGACGATATTTTGGCTTCGTTTACGTAAATACTATAAGTAGTTAGTCATGGCATTGCCGACAAGCGATCCCAAAGCGGATCCTGTTAAATCATTTATAGCTGGAGGATTCGGTGGAATATGTAGTGTGCTAACAGGTTATCCGCTGGATACAATTAAGGTAAGTTTTAAAAGAGCAAAATTTTTAATTAATTCCTTAGTTTATTTAATATTAATATTTTTTAAATTTTTATTTACCTATAGGTGCGACTGCAGACAATGCCGCTGCCCGCAGCTGGTCAGCCGCCAAAATATAAAGGCATCATTGATTGTGCTGTGAAAACGTTCAGTCATGAAGGTGTTCGCGGATTCTACAAAGGCATTTCAGCACCTCTGATAGGTGTCACGCCCATTTATGCGGTAGATTTTGCTGTCTATGCGGCTGGCAAGCGGCTGTTTCAGAGCGACGAACACGTTAAGCTTACATATTCACAAATATTTATTGCCGGCGCTGGGGCGGGCATTTGCTCGGCTCTGGTTACGGTGCCATCGGATCGCATTAAGGTTTTGCTGCAAACCCAACCGGTGACCGGGCCAGTCATGTACAATGGTCTAATAGATACCGCACTAAAGCTCTATAGGCAAGGTGGTATAAGGAGTCTATTCAAGGGCACGTGTGCTTGTGTTCTGCGAGGTGAGTCAGAGATGGCTTTTGATCTGTATATACATATTTGATAGTCGTTATCCTTACAGATTCACCCACTGGTGTCTATTTCGTTGTATACGAGGCCCTACAGGACTTGGCTAGACGACATTCAAAGTCTGGTAGCATAACGCCTACATCGACCATATTTGCTGGTGGAATAGCTGGCATTGCATTTTGGTCACTGGCTGTGCCTTTTGATGTACTTAAAAGTCGATTACAATCGGGTTAGTTGGTGATATCAACTGTCTTTAAAGAACTATGCTAACTCTCATTTACCATGTAGCGCCCGAAGGCACCTATCAGCATGGCATACGAAGCGTGTTCAAAGAACTGATGGCCAAAGAGGGACCCAAGGCGTTATATCGCGGAGTCTTGCCCATATTAATACGTGCTTTTCCCTCCACCGCAGCGGTATTTATTGGCGTTGAGCTGGCCAATGATTTGCTAACATTTTAGACAATAAGGGTCTAACGCTTGTTGGCCACATAGACGCTATATAATTTTACTATTGTATAACTTAACAAATTATGTAATTAAATGTGTATATTTTGATAGACTACATACATATAGATTTATTTTGAATTGCCGGGCAGGTGTAAACAGCTGTGTAAATACAGATGTATTTAAACACGAGTTGGCAGCCCTTGTTGAGAGCACACGAATAGAGATGAAACCGGTTCGTGCTTTTCGTGTGCCACGTAAAGGTCGTGTTTATAACGTGTGGGCAAAGTAATAATTATATAATTAAAAATAGTTAAGTATATTAAACAATTCTCAGTGCGTTAGATATGCCTAAATGATCCATTTATATTATAATTTAACATTTGGTTATTTTGCTGAAAGAAAACAATTTTTGACATCGACTTTTTTTATAGGCCTATTTGTCCGTGTAGTTTTCGATTGGTTCATCTCTAGCTTTAATTACAGAACACAAAATTACAAACCATCAAGATTTGGGTAAATTCAAAAAATAAAGCAGAGTTTTAAATGATTGGAGATTAAAACAATTCCATGCAGCGATTAGACAGTAGCTGCCTGTAATAGGAAAGGTCGCCGATGCTTAGATAAAAATAGATGCGATTGTGTGGTTCAAACTGCCAAAGATAGCGGACTTTGAACCTCGGTGCCGGCAATGCAGCTTTAGTTAAGCAAATTTTATTTCTCCTAGGTACGTAGCCATATCACCAATGTGTTCGTTCCAATATTGATAACAGCCTAACCAATTCACTCAATGCTCACCTACACAGGTGCCGCTCTCCAAATCAAAACAGTAGACATCTTGTACTGCTGCCCGCAACAGGTTCTTCTGCGCCTTTCACGTTCGTTCTCGCTCGCACTCGCACTTCCGCCACGACTTTGTTTTTGAGCCTCTTCATTCGTATATCAGAAATCAGGTATGTGTAACGGGATTTGCTAATCCTCATTGAAGGCAGCTTTGACTGTTGCCGTTACATGGTCAGGGCTGTGCACATTAATACTTTCTAATTCTTATCAGGTTTAGTACAATGACCAAAAGAGATTAAGCAATTTGCACAGAGTGCAAATTCCAGTTAAACCTTTACGAGTTATTGAAATATTACAATATATGCTTACAGACGTGTCTGTGTCTAGTCATAAGCCGATCTGTATAGACCGAATTATGTATAATCGTATAATTAGCTTTATATGATTGAATTGTAGTAAAAGATGTAGATGACCTCTGGCATTTCGTAATTGCGTTGTATAAATTTAGTCTTATTAGAAGAATTATATGTTTATTTTAAATTATATTGTATGCATACAGATATTTATATTATTAATTATTTACTTACTTTTTAAATTCATGTTTTATATGCAATTTGTCTAAAGAACCACAATAATATTTTATTTATACGCATAATTAGAAAATTAATGAAATACTTTCCATTCACAGACTTAAGCCATGACAACTCTTGAGAAGGTTGAAAATGCTCCTGCAGAACGCAAAGCTAATCCGCTTAAGTCCTTTATCACTGGCGGCTTTGGCGGCATATGCAATGTTCTCTCAGGTCATCCTCTCGACACGATTAAGGTGAGTATAACATAATGAATGAAATGACAGTCGTCTAATAAGGATATTCCCTCTCATGCGAAGGTACGTTTGCAAACAATGCCACGGCCAGCGCCTGGAGAGAAGCCAATGTATAGCGGTACCCTAGACTGTGCCACTAAGACCATACGCAACGAGGGCTTCCGGGGGCTGTACAAGGGCATGTCTGCACCCCTAACTGGCGTCGCGCCGATATTTGCAATGTGCTTTGCTGGCTATGCGCTGGGCAAGCGATTGCAGCAGCGCGGTGAGGACTCTAAGCTTACATATCCGCAAATCTTTGTCGCCGGCTCATTCTCCGGACTCTTCTCCACGTTCATCATGGCGCCCGGCGAACGCATCAAAGTTCTGCTGCAAACCCAGGGCACTGGCCCCGGTGGCGAAAAGAAATACACCGGCATGATCGACTGCGCTGGCAAACTGTACAAGGAGGGCGGCCTGCGCAGCGTTTTCAAAGGCAGCTGCGCAACGATGCTCAGGGGTAAGTGAAAATTATGCTTATAAGAAAAATAGACAGTTATTTTAAATGGAAATCAAGTGGGCTAGTTAGGAGGAAAATATATACATTTATATAATATTGTTTTTAAATATTCTGCCCATATACTCCAGATTCTGCATTAGAATTCTGTCAGGAACATTTTGCTCTTAATTAAAATAAGCAGTTGAGTATTTTTATAGCACTATATATATCTTTCTTCGGAGGTATAATATATCCTATGCAGAAAATTGTATTAATTAACTATTTAAAATCGACAGTCGACTAAATTCTGATCTGTAACTATTTATCTGTCTAAGTTGGAATTATTATCTGAAATTATGTTAATTAGTTTCTTGTGTTACAAACCTTCCAACGATTCTCGCATTTAATTGTTTTATAGATAAGTTTCTCAATCATACAGGAAATTTTTTATTTCGTCTTCTAAACATTCAGTCTTAAAAATGTTGTGTTTATGTGACTGATAATATCTTAACCTGATTTCTCTATATCCCTTGCCTATAAATCAAATATTTATGAGCACTTTTATACTATATTATATATAATGGGCCATAGGAATGAATGTTTAGAGAAAATTCTAGTTGATATATATAAAACTTTTTGTAATGTAAACTGTTTGTAGTGCAAAGGTGTGCAATATGCAAAAAGAGGTGAGATTGACTTCATATTGTATATATATTTATTCCTGATGAAGACGGCGAGATGAGTATGTAGCGCTCTCCGTCTGTCTGTCTGTCTGCTCGTGTCCGGTCTGTGAACGCAGCGATTATAATATATGTGTGTATATCGTAATCTCTGCATTCCGTAAA